CCAAGGTTATATTCCTATCTAGCATACATGGGGAACATTTTTAACTTGAATGAAAGATAGAATAACTTACCTTGTTGTTGATTATGATCCTTGAAACCTTGTGAGCCTAGCACCCCAAGTGTGATGCCTCAAATGCTTCACACAACACCAAATGCAAAGGAGTAAACTTTGAGAGAATCTTACACTTGCAAAATCGGCTCTAGCCCTCTTGTTTCTTAGTGTGCTATTTTGGTGGAGAATGGGTTTCTTATATAGTGTTGACACATTTTTAACTTGAATGAAAGATAGAATAACTTACCTTGTTGTTGATTATGATCCTTGAAACCTTGTGAGCCTAGCACCCCAAGTGTGATGCCTCAAATGCTTCACACAACACCAAATGCAAATGAGTAAACTTTGAGAGAATCTTACACTTGCAAAATCGGCTCTAGCCCTCTTGTTTCTTAGTGTGCTATTTTGGTGGAGAATGGGTTTCTTATATAGTGTTGACACATCTAGGGTTACACCATGTAAACTCTAATGTGTCATGACTCTTCATTTCCATGACTCATGGGTTTGTAACTCCCATGGAGCATCCTATGGGTGGAACCCAACTTGATAATCCATGGAGCCTCTTAGCCCACTATATAAGATATGGAAGATTTACATAATCTACCCATATATTTAATTAGTTATCTTTTGATCACTTAATTAATTCTAAATTAATTCTTGATCAAACTAATTAAATAATATTATTAATATATTAGAACTTATAATATATTAATAAACTATAAGTGTTATTTCTCTCATTTTAGTTTATCCAATTGCATGGTGTCATGCAACCCAAATGGACCATGCCGGGTCGGGTCAAGTACATACCAGAAATAGTTATGGACTTAGACACCTTATCCAACACCCCCTCCATGGAGGAGATAATGTTCACTTTATATGGGACAATTAGGTCAAGGGGAATTAGGTCAGGCCTTGGTCCAACCCAATTCAGGCCCAACTAGCAAGGAGCTGGGCAAGGCCGTCCGGAGGCGCCGGGCAGGGCTGGCGGGCACGCCCCAAGCAAGGCTGGGGAGCGCGCACCAGGAAAGGATGGCAAGGGAGCGCCAGGCTGGGCCAGCAGGAGAGTCCCCAACAAGGCTGGCAAGGGAGCGCCAGGCGAGGCTGGCACGCCAGAGCTGTCTAGGCCATGCTAATGGACCATATATCATCAAGTCCCCCCGGTCCGATGGTATTGGTATGCGGCCAATGAGATTGGACTGGACTCAGTTATATACACCATATATCATCAAGTCCCCCCAGTCCGATGTTATTGGTATGTGGCTAATGACATTGGACTGGACTCAGTCATATAAACCATATATGATCAAGTCCCCGTAGTCCGATCAGATCGGACTAGACAAAGCACCAACGCATTAAATAATAAAAAGAATAACCGAACCTTGCCCAAGAGGGTCGTGGTGTTGTGCGATGAGCCATGCATGGGCTGGCTTAATAATCTTTCCTTTTCAGGAGTACGATCTGGTCGGTGAGATGCAACGTAGCTGTTGCTGCCATTATGTAGAGCGAGGCTGCTGATGATGTTATGCGGAGCGAGGCTACTATGCGACAATGATGTTGATAAGGCGTCGGGCCAAGGTATCTAAAAAGCGTAAGCTTTTCATTCGGTCCCTGAAACTTTTATTCGACATAGTTGTTATTGTAGTCATGCACTGATGGAACGTCACCGATAACCATCTACATAGTCTACTCTACGTGAACATCGATGACTGTCCCGAAGGTGTTTCTTGTTTAGGCTACACCTAGCTGGATTCCCCCAGTCTGATGTGGGTAGCGTAGGTAGCTGCATCAGACTATATTATCAAACCGATGAGCTATAAAGTTGTTGACCATATATAAGTGGCAGAGGTTCCGGGAGCTGGGCGATTAGGTTGCTGGTAGGGGTTACGCTGCAGGGCTGTTGCCGAGAGGTAGGCAACAGAGATGTTGAGGGGTACTCATCGAGGCTATATGTGGGGGTTGCGCAGCAAGACCGTTGTCGAGAGCCAAGCAAAAGAGATGTTGAGGGATACATAGCGAGGATACAGGTAGGGTTTGTGCAGCAAGATCGATTCTGAGGGCACGATAATTGAGATGTTGAGGTATAAGCAGCGAGGCCATAGGTAGGGAATGCGCAACAAGGCCGTCGTTGCGGGCCAGGCAACAGAGTTGCTGAAGGGTTGTAGGTAGCAGGGTTGCTGTTGTGATTAGCTTCTTGCTGGAGAGTAACCTTGGTATAGCAGTCTATAATGTTGAGAACGCTTTGTCTATCGTCCGAGCATAAGAGAACCATGATGATTGTAACAGAGGAAACACCGAGAGAGCGGTGTTGGGCATGGAATAGGCTTGTGATGCGCGACGATGCGCGACTTATGTTGCGCGACTTAGAAAAATAGCATGGGCTTAGTGGCCAACGATCATGGAGATGTTTCATGGGAGAGCATCACATGCAGATCGGGTTTAGCAACCAGCGATCGTATGTACATCATGCAAGAGAGCATCTCGTGGAATGGATCGAGCTTAGTAGCCAACAATCATGGATACATCACGTGGGAGAGCATCGCATGGAATCATATAGGCAAAGGTTGTGAGCCTTTGAGCCTTGTTGGCAGAGCATGCCGCTGGAATCGGGCTGAGAAGCCAGGCGACTCGAGGCAATGGTGCTGAACCTCACATGCGAAGCTTGCCGCTATAATGGAGTCAGGCTGATAAGCCAGGCGACTCGAGGCAAGGATGTTGAACCTCGCATGCGTAGCTTGCCGCCATAATGGAGTCGGGCCGAGAATCCAGGCGACTCGAGGAAAGGATGCTGAACCTCGCATGCGGAGCTTGCCGCTATAATGGAGTCGGGCTGAGAAGTCGGGCGACTCAAGGCAAGGGTGTTGAACCTCGCATGCGGAGCTTGCCGCTATAATGGAGTCGGACTGAGAATCCAGGCGACTCAAGGGAAAGGTACTGAACCTCGCATGCGGAGCTTGCCGCTATAATGGAGTCAGGCTGAAAAGCCAGGCGACTCATGGAAAAGGTATTGAACCTCGCATGCGGAGCTTGCCGCCATAATGGAGTCGGGCTGAGAAGCCAGGCGACTCTAGGAAAGGGTACTGCACCTCGTATGCGGAGCTTGCCGCTATAATGGAGTCGGGCTAAGAAGCCAGACGAATCAAGGAAAGGATGCTGAACCTTGCACGATTGGGCGCAGCAAAATGCAATTTTTTGTGTCTGGACCGGAAGATTAGTCCGGGTTGAAGTGTAATGGCACCTGATGCTTTGTTGCATCATTAGTTGTGGTGGATATTGGTGCCTCGCTGTCTTGGTTGTCTGCCGAGGGCTATGCGGCAATGCTACTTAGATCTGGATAGTATATATGCTGTCAAGTGGTGTGTAGCGAGAATGCTGTCGAGAGTTGGTCAGCAGGGCCATTGAGGACCGGGCAGTGAGCTGCTAGTGATGGATGAGCAGCACGATTATTGAGAGCTGGGAAACAAGAATGTCGAGGGTTGAACCACGAGGCTGCTCTTTCGATCTGGAATATGAATGTCGCCTCGGGAATGCACTATCATGCATAGCATCAGCTCTTCATGTACTTTAACTCTGCGCCTTCTGAATAAAGATCACTTCTAGATAGTGTCGTACCAACCCTTCTCCCCTTTTTTTCTGAAAGGAGGGGAGAAAAGGGAATGATGGACGTATAGCTGCTGGAAGTTGGGCGACATAGCTGCTGAAAAAGCTAGGCAACACAAGTGCTAACAAAAACTGGGTAGTGCGGCTGCCGAGAGCTGGGTGGCGCGACTGCTAGGAGTCAAACAATGTAACTGTTGATGACTGGGCTTTGCGGCTGCTGAGTTGGGTCGCATGGATGCTGAGGGTCGCGTTGCGCAAATTCTGAGATCCAGGAGGCGCGGTTGCTGAGAGCTGAGCAGCGAGACTGGCGGGGGCAAATCAATGTGAATGGCGAGAGCTGAGTAGCGAGACTACCTGAAGCCGGTCAACACGACTGCTGATAGTCGTGCATCGTAGTTGCTGAGGGTTATTTCGGAATGCTTCACGAGTAGTAGTAGCGTACTACTCTTCTCCCTCTTTTTTTTGTGCGGTGATAGTCGCGACACATCTTCTAGAACATGTTCTGTTGAGTGGCGCTTACGACATGCTAGCATTAATTTGCTGCGATTATCGTCTTGCAAAGTTAACCCATATGTTGTTGTGGTGGTCAATAAAAACCTTAGAAGAAACCCACAGTAATATATATTGTGGCCTACTATCTGAATTAAATGGCCCAAAATGAAATCGTTTAAACCGATTTTTCTTATGAGCCCAAACTCTTTCCTTTTTTTTTTTTTTTGAAAACACCATGCTTATTCTCAAATGTATTTGTTGAGCAGAGCTTGCGGCCTATGGGCATAAATGGCTGATAATTTATGTTGTCAGGATAACCCACTAAGATGTAAATGCCTAGAGAAAAACCCAAAACAAATTTGTTATAACCCATTTAAAAATGGATAAAGTCCAAGGTGATAAATAGCAGCCCGTACGTGAGCCCACTTAAAAAGTAAACAATCAAAATTGTAATTCCTTCTTCTCCTTTCTTAGCCCAACTGTAAGAGTTTTAGGGTAAACATGGGCCCACAACACTTTCTCATTAGTTCCATATACGATATGTCGTAGTGACGCCCAATAGAAAAAAGGTGAGTGGCGGCGATTGTAAGAGGTACAGCAGTGGCGATGATTGTGGATGTTGAAACTGCTGTCGGAAGCAGGAGGCGACAACAGGTGGTCCATTCAGCGGAGTAGGGGGCAACAATTTTCTACCAATGGTTGAAATTCGATGAGCAGTTGTTTGATTCTCGTGAGCAGTTACAGATCGAGAAAGACGAGGGTCGGCGATTTCGCCTCCGATGTGAGGTTCTTGGGTTACCGTTGATGGTGTTGGCGATAGAAGGTGGTCCGATAGGGATGACGAAGATTGGCAGGAGGTGTCATCTTGGGTTCGTTTCGTCTGAACTAGAGGTGACAGCTGGTGGCGATCTAACACACAGAGGTTGGAGATCGTCCGGTGGTCCCGGTGGGGATTGGTTCTTCAGCGCCTTCTCTGGCGACTTGGAGTTGTTCAGTTGGGTCAATTGGTGTTGAAGGTGGTTGAGTTGCAGATCAAATGGTGACGATGGGTGGCTTGGAGATTGACTGGAGGTCTGGGTGTTACATGGGTGGATACCTGCTAGAAACGGTCGAGGGAGGCGTTCGCTGTCGGGGCCTTCCCGCCGGAGGCGTTGTCGAGTCGGGGTTGACCAGTGATGGTGATTATTGATTATTGGTTTTGTTGCTGGTTGGAGGTCGCCCCGTGGTAACAATTGGTGAGCTGGTGATAGCGACGCTCCGGTTGTTGTCGCTGGTGATTCATCGGGAAACGAAGAGACCATTACTCCATTGGAAAGAGAGAAAGCCAATTGGTGAGCTGGATTCATCGGGAAACGAAGAGACCATTGCTCCATTGGAAAGAGAGAAAGCCAAGTGGGGCCCGAATTTTCTTTTGACTTTTGTTGACAGTTCTGTCATTTGTCTGGTGGGCCCGAATTTTCTTTTGACAGCTCTGTCATTTGTCTGGTGCACTGTCCTTACCTCCTTTTTTTTGTTATTGACACTAGACAGACAAAACATACACCCTTTTTGATGTATTTTGGATGATTTGATGTAAATATGAGCTGTAAAAAGATTTTCTCTGTATATATGTATTTTTGTATGAATTTTTTTTATTCTTTTTGTAGAACTCCTCTCCACCTTTTTTTTTTGGTCGGCTAAGGTGCAACAAAACCAACATCACCATTCTTTGTATTGTCTCTCTTTTTTTTTTTCTTTTGAAACAGTAACTGTAAGAGTAAAATTAACATGGTGGGGTAAAATTTTTGAGGTAAATTCGCTTGTCTTTTGGTGAAGGGGATAAACGATTTTTTTGAAGGTTTTATGAAATATACAAGCCACACAGCTGGGTTTACAAACAGATGTTGTAGGGAGGGAAGTTGTTACAGAAAATCTTAACTAAAAACGATTTTATGGTATTATATGGACTGAAAATAAGGTAAAAACTCATAAAAATTTCTTTTCTACTCAACTTTCTGAACAGACCACCAAACTATAAACAAAAGATGGATTTGATAGGGTTTTTGTAAGCTTGAAAGGTGTTTGAATGAACATAAACATGTTTGAATGATGATAAATCATTTAGATCTGAACTAAAAACAAGATGAAACTACAGATCTGAGCTAAAAAATCAAGCTATGAAGGTAAAAAGTGAAGCTCGTAATTTTTTTTTTCAAACTTCCTGAAGTAAACACAAACAACTTGAATAAAGTTCTACACAAAAAATAATAAACTAAATGGTATTCTCTAAGAAGATATGAACTGAAAATGGGATGAAAACTTCTTTTCTTCTCAAACTTGCTGAAACAAACCCCACAATATAAACAAAAAATGGGTTTGAGAAGGTTTTCTTCTCATAAAACATTCTTTTCTTTTCAGCTTGCTAAACAAGTCATCAACCCAATCAACACATATGGGCCCCGCCCTGGGGCCTCGCCTTGGGGTCTATTTCAACCCGAACATACTATAGTGGGCCCCGCCCTTGGATACATTTCAACCCTAATATACTTTAGTGGGGCCCGCCCTGGGGTATATTTCAACCCATCATAGAATCACATATTAACCACATAGAACTATCATTCTCAATAGCACAATAATAGGTCGGCATTGGTGCCTTCGGCCCGTGGATACAGTGATAAGACTCACCTCATAGACAGATGAGTAAACTGAATAGCACGCCGCTCTGAGATCAACTCTACCAGTCACCTTAATAAATTCGGTGGCACAAACTCACCATACAGATCAAATTACCTAAAATACCCTTAGGTCAAACCCTTGTAAAAAACCAAGTCAAAGTCAAATGAGTTAACCGAGTTGACTCAGTGAGGACGTGGGTCGTACTACTTATATTCGCGGGGCGTAGTACACGATTAACCAAAGTCGGGGATTTGACCACGTATGCACAACGTACCCCTTGGTACGCCCAGCGTATGGGGCTGCTCACCACTTTAACCATTAAGTGCTTAATCCTTAAGCACTTACGTCCAAAATCCAGATCTAGGCTCAAAAAAAGATGTCCTTAACCATAAAGTTTCCAACTTTATGGTTTAGCATGGCTATTAAGACCTTAGCTCCAAAAACCCTAGCTTCTTTACCCATTAAGACAATCTAGCTCATGAATGGAAAGAAACTAATGACCAAGAACACATTTTTATGACTTAACACACCGTAAAACCTCTAAAAGGAAAACTCAAACGTCTTGGAGTATCTCCTACTCACAAAGATCAAATTTGGGACAAAAAGGTGACAACTTCGAGCTAAAACTAGATCCATAAGAAATATACATCAAGGTTGAAGCTTTTTACCTCCAAAAGATGCACCAAGGGAAGTAGATGTTGGATTTAGGGCCTTGAGTGAAAAACCACAACCTCAAGGTTCTTCCTTCTACTCCAAAAGCTCCAAAATGACACCAAAAAGGGCTCTTCAAGCTTCACAATGCACTTACACACTTTAGGGTTCGAAATGAGGAAGGGGGCTGAAGATAAGAGGGTGTATGACGCCATAAAAGTGCTTAAATAGGGTCCAAACCATAAAAATTAGGGTTTTGCATGTAATACCCAAAAATCCAAGCCAATTTAAAACTTTTCAAAACATTTAAAAACCAACAGTTATTATAGATTTGTTTTCAAAATAGTCTATATCAGAGTTTTTCCCAAAAACATAAACAAAACATGAGGAGCGATACGATCATGCCTTCGCCTTGCCGCGATCCCCTAATGTACCTGAAACAATAAACTAAAACTGTAAGCCTGAGAGCTTAGTGAGTTTCCCCCAAAATACCGATACACATACAATCCACATAACGATATCAGTAATATCATAACATAACAAACTGAACAACATGCAATGGGTCCACAGCTTACAGACTGGATTACCCCCTGGGTCCTTAGTGTGAGTCTGGATTGCCTTCAGGCCCACAGCTCACATCTGGATTGCCACCGAGCCCACATTACGAGTCTCCCTCAGCTCGTATCTGGAATGCTCACGGGTTTGTTGGTTACCGCACGGAGCAGTATCACCTCAACCCATCTCACATACTATGTCGACATATAACACAAATAATGCACATGCAGATAATCACATGATGCTACAGGTAGTCCTACAGATCTACCTAACTGACATAGCAACTAACATGCAACACTAACTCATACTCAACATACTACCAACTATTAGGAAATCATATCCAGTGGGCCGGCATTGGTGCCTTAGACCCCTTAGTATAGTGAGGGTAACTCACCTCGCACTGCTGACTCGAAGATAACTCAAACTCTCAGATCGCCGACACAAGTCCACCACCTATAACCATCATATAACCATGCTTGTAAATTTCAAATTCCCAAAATGTCCCTAGAAGTCAACTGGTCAACCCTTGGTCAAAGTCAAAGTCAACGGTCAAGGTCAACAATCATCTTCACCTCAACTCGTCAAGTACCCTTAGCTACTCGCCGAGTTCCTTGCATAACTAGTCAACTTGCCGAGTCACTAGAGTGACTCGTTGAGTTCCTACGGTTTGCGGCCGTAACCTCTTTGGCCACCTCGACGAGTTCCTCTTGCAACTCGCCAAGTCCATATGTGTCCAAAGGTTGGGAAAACCCTAGCCGACTCGCCGAGTCACTCATCTGACTCGCCGAGCCCACGACAATCTTCATCGGACTCGCCGAGTCGACCATGCGACTCACCGAGTCCCTTCAGTCCTTCATCATTACAGAGGCTTTTTACGCCATGCAAAGGCTCCAAATTGTATATCCAGCTTCCCAAGGCATATTTATCACGTAAAGTTGCAAACTTTACATGCATGCAAAGCTTCAAAGTCTTATTATAAGAAAACTAAGCTTGTAAAGAAGTCTCACACTTGAGGGAAGGTTCATGCTTGCCAAAGCTGAAAACTTTATGGACTTAGAGACCAAGGAGAGTCCAGATCTGAAGTTACAACTTCAGATCTTAGCTTATAACCAAGAATGGCTTCTTATTATGCTAGAAAAGCCCTAAAATCCACCCAAAAGAGATCTAGAATGAAATGGGGGTTAAGATAACAGCTTAATACCTTCCAAAAGATGCCAACTGAAGTAGATCTTGATTCCCACGAGTTCCTTGCTTCAATCCACTTGTTTCCCCAAGTTTTCGTCACTAAGATCCTTCTTCCAAGCTTAAACACACCAATGGAGTACACACACGATTTAGGGTTTTAGAGTGTCAAGGGGCTGTAAATGGGAGGCTGAGGGAGGCCAATGATCCTTTAAATAGGGTGCAAAACCCCGAAATTTAGGGTTTCATTTGTCAGCTCCTACTCGTCGAGTCCCTTCTTGGACTCGGCGAGTAGGTCACTAAAACACGTGGACCAACTCGCTGCTACTCGACGAGTAGGTCAACCAACTCGTCAAGTAGACCTTGAAATCAAGAAAATATTATATAAAAAAAAATCAATACCTGAGAATTGGGGCGTTACAATTCTCCCCCACTTGAACTAGACTTCGTCCTCGAAGTCTGCCGCGGTGAACAGTTTCGGATAGTGCTCCCGCATCTCTGCCTCCGACTCCCACGTCCACTCGGATCCCCTCCGATGCTCCCACTGTACCTTTACCAAAGGTATTTCCTTTTTCCGCAGAACTTTCATCTTCCTCTCCAGTATGGCCACAGGCCTATCCACGTAATTCAGGCGTTCATCAACCTGAATATCGTCCAACGACACCACTACCTCCTGATCCATAATGCACTTTCGCAACTGCGAAACGTGGAAAGTGTTGTGGATCCGGCTAAGCTCCTCCGGAAACTCTAGCATGTATGCCACCTTTCCAACCTTGGCAATGATCCTGAACGACCCAATGAAACAGGGACCCAATTTCCCCCTTTTCCTGAAGCGGATCACACCCTTCCAGGGTGAGACCTTCACGAGTACCATATCACCTACCTGAAAATCTAAATCAGATCGGCGTCTGTCGGCGTAACTCATCTGCCGACTCTGAGCGGTCTGCAGTCGCTGCCTAATCTGTTGAATCTTCTCGGTAGTCTGCAAGACTACCTCTGTCCATCCCATCACCCTGTGTCCAACCTCACCCCAACAAACTGGGGTGCGACATCTCCGCCCATACAACAGCTCGAAAGGCGGGGCGCTCCCACCGAATTCAATGACACACGCCCTCAACATATCTTCGAGGGTCTGAATGGTCTGCTCGCTCTGACCGTCGGTCTGCGGATGGAATGTTGTGCTAAAGTGCAACCGCATGCCCAGTTCCTCGTGGAACTTCTGCCAGAAACGGGAGGTAAATCTAACATCCTGGTCGGAGACAATGGAGACCGGAACCCCATGGTGAGCCACGATCTCGCGGACGTACACGTCGGCCAACTTCTCGGCCGA